TATGTGAGTCAAGGCAGGTGAGCAAATACTTTTGGCAATATAGTGTATATATATATATATGTATATATATATATATTATTTTTTTTTATTTTTTTTTTTTACGATTTTGGTATTATTGACGTGTTGCTATGTCAGTAAAAGACACGTTTTACTCCAGTTAATGATTAATTGATTACTAAATTAGTTAACAATTATTTAAATAATCGATTATTCAGGATTAATCCGATTACCGGTAATTGGTTCATCCCTGCTGTAAACAGTCCCATAGTAAAGTTCCCATAACTGACCTTATTTTCTGTATATTCCATTATACTACTGCCACTGAGATAGTCATGCTATATTTAATTAATTTACCAACCCTTTGGAAAGATACTCAAATCCTGGAAAGAATAGCTATTAATCTATAAGTAGAAAACTTTTTCTTTTTTCAATTTTGTTTCCTCTTATTTGGAAAAATTGCTGTTTGAAAGGACAGATATGTTGCAACATATTCGCAAGAAGTTGCCAGTTGAATAAGTAGACTCTTTATATTTCAATATTTTCCAAAACAATTTCCCTCTTTAATAAAACATCATTTTTCTTTTGTTTGAATAATCTCTATCTTTAGCTTCCTCGTCTCTTTACTACATGTTACTGCTAACTGACTCCTGTCCAGCTTTTACCCAAAAAAGAACACATTCATTATTCACTTTAGTCAAACCATACAGTTGATGTCATTTTGTGCATGTTCACCTTCCTGCAGAAGCATCCTGCACCTGAGGACTGGCTGTACAAAGAAGCCAGGAATTTGTTTCTGAAGCCAGAGGTGGTGGACTCGTCCACCGTGGAGCTGAAGTGGAGGGAGCCTGATGAGGAGGCGCTGATCCAGTTCATGTGCAATGAGAAACAGTTCAGGTGAGCATGCTGGCTCACAAAGCCTTTTTCTTTTGTTTTACCAAGATGCTGCAGTAGAGTGATCTGCTCTCACAGTGATGGCTAGTTGAACTGTTCTTGCATAGTTAGTCCACTAGTCTCCACTGTTGGACTTTTATTTGCAGTGTTATGACTTTTCTATTGTGTAAATCTTACTTTAACTGTCCTTTTAGATATTTTTCCAAGTTGTTGCCCACATGCCACATAAACAATTCAAAGTGTTTTGTCTCCAAACACAGAAAAGTCAAAATTCTTGCATGCAGCTGGGTTTTTTTGGAAATGCTGAGTCATTTTGGTGTGTTTGCAGCGAGGACAGGATCCGTAACGGCTGTAAGAAGATTCTGAAGAGCAGGCAGGGCAGCACGCAGGGAAGGCTGGACTCTTTCTTCTCTGTCACTGGATCTCTGTCCTCCAAAAGGAAGGTGAGCTTCGAAACAGCTGCCGCGCCTACTGACTGCTTCCACAGCGACCCAACATTTATTTAAATATTCTCTTAATATGAGTGTACTTGACGGTTACATATCATTTAACAGATGACTTTACTTCTGTTTATTTCCTGAATTTTCTACTTTATCTCTGTATTTTTAGGAACCGGAGACCAAAGGACCTGCAAAGAAAAAACAGAAAACTGGAGCTACTCCGGGCAAATTCAAGAAGGGCAAATAGCCTGAACTTGGTTCCCTGTTGATGTCTCTGTCATAACATTCAATGAATCTTAAATTCGGCAGGAAAAATGCTGCAAAGGACGAGGTTTTTGTTGAATGATTGTTTCAGTTATACAACCTTGTTGTTTACAACCATCCACGATCCAAGCTAGCTGTATTTTAAGGTGCTGAATGGTTTTAGCAAGGCATGTTCGAAATAAAAAGCTTATTTTGTAGTGAAAAATGTTTCCTGACTTCTTTTTTTCATTTCAAATGACCACATCTGCAGAAAGATTTTAATATTTCTGCAGTCCAATTACCTAAATTTGTAGAATTCTTTTTTGTTCCTTGACATCGATAGTATTTTATTATCAGCTAACACACTGATCCCTTTTGGGTTTCCACAATCATTCCAAGCATTCTTCACCAAATATACCAACCAGCCTCCTTTAAAAATGGTTTTATTTTTTACAACTAAATTTAGCTTTCATATAACTAGCCCTTAGGTCTGAACTAGCGAAAAAGATCTGCATAGTCAGTTTGATTTAAGTTATATCTCCTTATTTAGCTGTTTTAATGTACATCTTAGACTAAAGATGCATTTTGTAAGAGCAGAATTTGCATGATTTTATAAAATCTCTTATTTGGAGGTGATTCAGTAGACCTTTGGTATATGAATTTATAACCCCTCCCCTACGGGATGGTCTTGGATACTTTTGTCTGAATAGTCTCTTTATAGCAGGAATGGTTCATTATCCCTGCAGTTATGTTCACCCCTTAAAACCAGAATTTAAACAACCGTTAGAATATGGATGCAATAATGAACACATGTAGCCCCAAACTGATCCTTATAGGACTGATCTGGGGCATGAAGGTTAAAACAGAATATCATATGCCATGATGTCATCCGAAGTCTGATTAGTTCAGTTTTGCAATAGATGTGTTTGAATTAGAAGTACAGTTTAACCTATAGGTTTTTTTTTTGGTAAGAATTATATATTATATTAGATACCTTGTAAATTCCAATGTTGTACATAAATAAACCATAATTCACTTACGCTGAACATAAACCTGTGTTAATTTGAGTATCTGATGTGTTTGGTTCTTTCGCAGTGTTTTCTTGACGTGCAGAATCCATCTCCTGTTTTGGACGAGCTTAATAATTAATTTACCTTTCTATTGATCTCAGCAGTGGGCTGCCGTCGTGGGGCACCCGGAAAGCAATCAGGGTTAAGGGTCTTGCTCAGAGACCCATGTTGGCAGTCTGTGGAAGTGGGTTTTGCACTTGCAACCTCAGAATTCCAGGCTCTATGCCCTGACCACTAGGCCGCCGCTTCCCTCCAAGCTTTTCGTGCAGCACTCTGGTTCTGGGCCTTGTGCCAGTGTTCTTTACTCGAGCCGGTTCGGCTAGATGACCGTGATTCATCCATTCTCTGCCTCAGTCAGTACTGGCTGCACGGCCTCAGTTCACCAGGCTCACCTCGGCATTTAGTGATTTTTTGCTAATTTAATATACAAGTTAAATTATTCTGTCTGATCGAGCTTTTGTGTTGCAGAGAAATCCAATATTTTATTTATCCAATATTAACATATTTAAACTACTCCTTTTTAAAATTCTTGATGATTTACCAAAGGGTTTTTAAAGGGCAGACACACACTGAATTTCTACACCAGTAGCTCACTGTGGTTGCATACAGAGGTCTTTGGATTAAATCACGGCATCCAATTGGCTTATTATGTTTTATTTCTCTGCTTTACACTTTATTTTTGTGCTCTTTGTTATTAATTAGTGTATATTTAACATAATAAGACCACAAAACAGAGTTAGATTACAGCAGGTAGAAAAGAAAGCAATGAGGCAAAATGAGTCAGCAACTCCCAGAGACAAGTAGAGCTTTGAACACAATATGAATGTTGCTGTTCAGTGAAAAGGGATCTAAAGCTGCCAAAACATTTAAATTTGGCTGCCAGGTTAATGGACACAGTACACAGCTTAGTAATACTGATACTAGTGATAGCAGCGCTGTTCTCAGGCTTTTAGATCTAGAGATAGAAACTTGTATATGAAATTAGCAATTGTTCAAGTTAACAATTTGATGTGTTGTTGGAAAATTTAGATTTATCTTCTATCAT